CTGGGAAATTCTTCCAAAAACTTGTTTCCCCTGACAGACCATGCCTTGCACCCGACTATCATCATGCTGCTGGTCTGTCTGCTCTTAGACTAGGCTCCTTGTAGTGGTTATAGCCTCTATTTACATTGCTCCTATTTCATGGGGGGAGCTTGCCGCAGTCCTACGTCTGTGTGGACAGTTTAATATTGTCCGTCTTATTTCCTGTTCCCCCCCCACTCTGGGCCACTAGACTTTTACAAGAGTCTGGAATCCTTTCTCAGCATAAGGAATGTCTCCACTTTCAGGGATGTGGTGTCTGCTAGCCTTGTGGATACGGGATCATGAAGCATCTCCGGTGCCTGAGTGTGGGCGGTTTTCCAGAAACTAGAAGCTGCAGTTCTCATTTTTGCCCCTTCCTGCCTTCCGATCTCCCTGCACCCTGACACTGACTAGTTGTTCTCAAGGCTGCTTTTGCTGATTTCTTGCCTAAGGAGTTTTTTTTTGCCTGGGCTTCCATGATGGAAGGATTTCAGGGCCTTTGCTTTAACCCTTCTCTTTGTTCCCACAGTAAAAGGGGTATAAGCACCATCTTGAGTCTCTAGGCTATTATTGTCTTTTGTTGGAATGTCCGGCTGAATGTCAATTAGAATCAGGTTCAGATGACCAATGTCGCTGCAGTAATGCATCTCATCTACCAGGGTGTGACCAGTAGCCTGCTGTGATAAGGGCAGTAGAAAGGATTCCGTCTTGGGCAGAATCTCTCCTTCTAGCCTTGCTGGCAGTTACATACTAGAGGTGCACTATTGGCATGGAGGCTCTCTCTGCCGGCAGGGCCTGATTCAGTGGATTGGGCCCAATACCCAGTGGTCGAGGACCTGTGTCACAGGTGGAGGGTGCTGGACATGGACCTTCTGGTCTCCAAATTCCATATGCACTCTGAGCAGGATTTGTGGTGATCCTTTTAGTTCTAGCTTGGGCCAGTGACTGCGATACTCTGAACTGCAAAACTACTTCTGGATACTTCATGGGCTCTGCCAGGTTGAATTTTTAGTCCCATGGACTGATTTAGGCTTTGTGGCCACTGGCTTTACCTGTATGACTTTTGGAGCCCTGGTCTTGGGAGAGATATGTATTGCTAAATGCTGGTTTGCTCCTTTAACCTATTGAGAAATTCCCCTTTTGACTTTGCTCTCCCAGATGCTTGCCATTCATGATTTTATACCTGTCAGAATGTGGTTACCTCATCTGTCTGTCCAGCCCCATTGCTTCAGAGAATACATTTTTTTTTTTTCTTCTCTTTGCCGCCTAGATGTATCTCATGCTTTGCAGGTTTACTTCACAGCCATTGCTCCCATTGACAGGTCTCTCTCCATGCTGCCTAGAAAAGATTTCAGGGTGGAACTGGTGCCTGCCCATTTGTCCATCTGAGGACCATTCCTGTGGAGTTGGTTTCATTTTCCGTTCGCAACTTGTGTGTCTTATAGGCAGAATTTGACTGTTTCTGCCTTAGGTTAGTTGTTTCGTTTCCCACCCCTCGCTTGACACTGCTTTGGGACGTCCCAATGGTCAGAGATTTAGGAGCTCCATTGTGTCCTTTATTGAATGGAAGAGAAAATAGGACTTTTGTACTCGCCATAAAATCCTTTTCTCTGCATTCATTGAAGAACGCGGCACCCTCCTTGGTTTTGTCTGTGACAAGAATTTTATGACGAATACAAAAATCCTATTTTCTATTTATCTTCTACTATCTGTACATCAGACCAAAAAGAGGGACAACCTTCATGGTGGGATTCTGACTCCAGTGAAGTAAGATCTCAGCACAGCCATTGGGCTTCTCTGTGTACCCTGCCCCCGCACACAGACCACTTTTACTAGTATCTATGGCAGAAGTGAGATGGCTCCTTCAGTACACAGAGCTATCCTTCCTGTTTTGTATAAAGTATAAAAATAGAAGGAAGGCTTCTTGCACTAGTTCAGCTTTACATGTTGTGAGTCTACACCCATCTTCTACTCCTCTCAGCATAAATACCTTGACGCGTTCCACATCATCAGTGCAAAACAATAATTGATGTGATGCTTCCTGTATATCATGCTTCAATGATTGAATAAAACCAGCGATTAACAAAACACTGCTGCTACCTCACGTCTGTGTGTACTTTATATGTATGGGACCTGGCAGCATCTGAGGTACTAGTGGAGTTAAGTGGTTGTGTATGGAACTGATGGCCAGATTTCCCTAGTAGCAGACTAAGCTGTATTTGTGTGTGATTTAAAGGCTTATTTCCCATTTCAGAAATTCAGCTTCCTAGGCCATCACTTTACCTCCGGCCTCTTCGGTATACAGTGAAGATGTATGGCCTTTGTCCAGTAAAGGGTAAACATATGTACTTGATTATTTATTTTTATTTGCCTTTAGGGTTTCTTTAAAGCTCATCGCAAATATTTAAATGCGCCATTTACATTAGGCCACCAAACACTAGTTAGGATTTTAAAATATTTTTGTACTCCCCATAAAATCATTTTCTTACAGTCCACTGAGGGACAAAGAAAGTGCTAAACCTTCCGTTTATACTGCTGCCCACAGAAGGATTGGACACTGGTCAACAACAACAACAACAATTGTAGGCCAGCCTAGGATAACCCCCCTCCTACTACCAGCATGCCTCGGTTTTGTGACAAAGCAGTACCAAAAGCATGATCACAAACATAGAAGGGTGGGGCTTGTGTCCCTCAATGGCCTTCAAGCAAAAAGAATTATACAGTGACAACAAACATTTTCTTTTTGTATCCATTAAGGGGCACGGGAATTGTTGAAACTGCCAAACGCAGTCCAACAGAGGGGTGAGCAACACAGCAAACAAATGCTAACAGGCCCAAGAAGACAACCGAACTGAGAACTGCCTGCAGCGCAAAGTGTCGCCTGAAGGACCTTACGCCCGAAGCTGGCTTCCACCACCTGGTAGAATTTGGGTGCTGTGTCTCATATTTGCAAGGTTGCCACTCTGTTCACATGTTTTCCAAGAGGCACATAGCTGACTCCAAGAGGTGTAGTAGACCGTGCCTTAACAGGAAAGTGTGGAAGCTGATCCTTGAGAAACCTTGATCCAGAAGACCTGGCAGATCTAAAGAGAGGTTCCCTCAAAGGCCATGCAAAGAAAGTGTCTCTTGGACACAGGCTCATGCCGTCATCTGCTCGTGTGTTCAAAGGGGTTTTTTTTCCTCTCTAAGAAAGGGTGCAGGGAGGGTGGATGCTCTTTCCTCTGTCCCCAATACTCGCCCAAATGCTCCGATGCCTAGCCCGATACTTCACTTGTAACGAGGGAGCATGGAGCCGGCTTCCCGGCCAATCGGGAAGCTGGGTGTCGCGTCATTACACGGCGCCCGGCTTCCTGATTGGCCAGAAAGCCGGCTCCATGCTTTCTCATTATAAGTGAAGGGAAGTATCGGGCTAGGCCCGGGGTCAGCAACCCATGGCTCTGGAGCCGCATGTGGCTCTTTCATCCATCTGCTGCGGCTCCCTGTCCAGGGGCGGAACTACGGGTGTAACTGTACACTGTGTGCGCTGTTATTTCATTTAATTAGACAAGTGGATTATAAATGGGGAACATTACACTGTTCTATCAAAGTTTGTGTCTAGGTTGGAATGTGTGATCAGTGATGTGGTCACACATATCAATGTAACCCCGCCCAGTTTTTTGGCGGTGGAATGTGACCACCAATAGGTCAAACATTCCAACGCTTTCTCAGCTGTTCCAGGGCAGATCGGCATCGCAAATCGTATGTGCAGGAGAACCGATCTGCCCTGCAACAGCTGTTCTGTCCTGAAACTCTTCTATCCGACTTTGTGAGTGGGGTGGAACAGCTGTTCTGTCCTGAAACTCTTCTATCCGACTTTGTGAGTGGGGTGGAATGTGAGATCGCACTCAGACTCGGATAGAAGTGGCATTTCAGCACCGAACAACTGAGCCCAGAGTCCAGTGCGTTACTAAGCCCACATATACCTATATACATGCTATACATAGCATAAAAAGGTAAAAAATTATATATGCCGTGATATCTTCATTTTAGATGTCAAAAGGGTTTTGTGGCTCTCTGTGTTTTCTTTTCTGTGTGAAACGGGTCCAAATGGCTCTTTAAGTGTTGCTGACCCCTGGGCTAGGCATTGGAGCATTTGGGCGAGTACTCGTACTGACAAGCAGCATGGGGACGGCTTCCCTGCTAATCGGTAAGCCAGGTGGTGAGTCTTTACACGCCGCCTGGCTTCCTGAATAGGACATCCGGTACTCTGTATTCAGTATCGGCAGGTACTGAAAAAAAAAAAAAAAAAATCGGTACTCGTACTCAAAACCGAAATACCGGTATTGGTGCATCCCCAATAACAAATTCAAGCAACATGAATTCACAGATACAGTTGTCTCCCGTTCCTGTGTGTCCCCAATTGGACTACAAGCAGCACATGTTACTACAAAGAGTCCACAGAATGTGATCAATGCAGGGAGAGAAAACATGTACAGAGAGTGTGGAAAAACGGTTTTGGTTTAAACAAGTAATACCGTCCTGATTTACATACAAATTATTCTGGTGAGAGTTTAGTTCTACTTTAAGGTTTTCAAAACGGAAAAGACAATCTGACATCTTAATGAAGAACAAATGAAAAGAATATTTGAACAGTTTTATTAGAAATGCCAAAAGCAATGTAAAGTATAACTATTGTCACTAATAACGTAACAAGGTGTTGAGAATTCCTAATGCCGCTCATGTGATTGAACTCTTATGTTTTAAAAGTACTTCAATACTTTCATGATGATATACTGTAAAAGGTAAATAAAAGCCATTTAAAATGGTTAAATTATTTTTCATGTACCAAATAAGTTTCATGAATATTTAAAACAAATTAAAAAATCTTTACACCCTCTAATGCTTAGGGACTTGCACATTAGTAATGGGAAGCGTCTTCTGCTATGCGGACAGGTACGAGCTGGCTGCCTACATGCGCATTGTGCCGTCATTCCGGCAATATTTTCTGTAAAACCATTTCATATTAAAATAGCAGCATACGGCGTGTGGTGCCATAGAGTCCATGTAGTTTTTGAAGAAGGTCAGGCATGTCAGTGTGACACCTTAGCTTTCCATGTGCCACTGCTGAGATGGTGACCCGTCACAGATTGCCATAGCGACGTATCCCTTGTGACTAAGGGAGTCAACAAGCTTCATGCACTGGCCCACGGACACTTGGTACAGACGGTTATTTTTCTGCATGTGAGAAAGAACATATTCAGTCAGTTTTGGATACCTTTTAGATGAAGCAATAAAAAAAATAAAAAAAAAAGCCTCATAGCTCATAAAACATAATAATTGTACTCCAGAAATGTTCCTGATCCATGGCCCAGCACACGCTTAATGAGATGTTCTCTGGAAGCAGCCGAGGATGGAATTGCTGCAATGAACTAAAACAAGGGTGGAACTCCGCACAAGCACACTCTTCACTGTAATGTGCGCACCATTTTTTTATTAAGAAGCTCCAGACCTCTTATAAAAAGGAGTTGGCAGCAATATAAATGTAGAACAAACACTTTATAAACTGTCCAAGTTTCCGATTTGTATTATTAACCCTGAAAAGGGAAAGTATAGCGAGTTCATAATTTGAGTGATCATTGCAGTGTTTCAACCAACACGGTATAGGGGGCAACAACTGGGCCCCTGACAACACTAAAGGGCCGCACATAATGTCCAACATATGAAATGCTAGAGTCATACTAAAAGGCTAGTCAGAGACTGGGGACAGTTTTCATGAACCTAGCAGACATCAGTACTATTACCACATTACAAAATCAATACTTTTAGTGCAGCTGGGGTACAAAGTCCACAAAAAAAAGACTTGAAGGCCTGCAGGTTGGGCATCGGGGCCTTACCAAGACTCTGGGAGACAGAATTTAAAAAATGTGACAGGTAAAAAGTGCAGAATCGTAAAAGGTGTCTGCACATACCTGCGGCAGACTCCAACACCTTACAGTCATGAACACCTATTTGAAGCTTCCTTAAAAGTGCCAAAAAGCTTGTCTGTCCCTTTCCTGCACATTCCTATTGGCCACCGAGGCTGCAATTTCCTCCACACCAAACCATGTCTTTATGGAGCTTGCCTTTGCCTAAGGGGCACAACCCAGAGGGCTTTTCTGCTCTAAAGCAGGACACAATTGTCTAAAATGCGTTTGTATGCTATAGCATTAACAGTATCCTTAACTGGAAACACCTGAACGCAATCATTTGGAGGGGGAGGGGGGCGCAGGGTTCACATACATCTGGTAAATACATATGTCTAATGGTCAGGTGTCCACAAACTATTGGCTGGATAGTGTATTTCTCGCCCCCCGCAGGTATGTATAATATACAGTATGTATGTATGACATATAAAATGTACTTACACCAAAAACCCATTGCTGTGATCCCCCGGATCCATGACACTTCATGAGACGAGGAGGATCTGAGGATCGAGTTTCTGACACATCCAGGCAAAGAAGATTGCTAAGGATAAGCTCGTGTTCTTCATTGTAAGTCCAGATCTGAAAGGGCCATCAAACAAAAAAACAAACTTTGATTTCCTTTTTACCCCTTTCAAGTGCAAAATGAACAGAACAATAAACTCAATATGATGATGTCAACTAGAGACAGGACATAGGTCACCAGAAATAGCAAAGGTGCAACTTCTATCCACTTATTAGGTTGGATATTGTTAAAAGAAAAAAAAATATTAGCACTGAACTTAGAAGTGGAAAGCAGAGAAACAAACAGAGCAGTAAGCAAACTCGCAAGAGTGGAGTAGAATACGATAACACATACCTGATCAGAGTCATTGTAGTCACACTGCTTTGCTACTACTAGCCCCCCCTTCTGGCTCGGATGACCCTGGGCCACGAGACATCGATGTGTTTGCATGTTAATTAGCTGAAGGAGACAGACATTTTGAAATGATTTCAAAGTCAAAAGGTTTTTAACCTATTTTGAATTCTATTAATTTAAAGGGGACAGTCTGCTGAACAGTTCTACTATAAGCTGATGGTCGCTAAAGCGACCATCAGCTTATAGTAGAACTGTAAATGCCAGGTCCGTACGACGTACTGAGCTCGCCAGCTGGAAGCACTTTTGTAGCTCCGTACGACGTACGTCCTTGTACAGCGAAAGGGTTAAAGGTTATAGCTTCCTGCAGAATCAGGTCCCTGAGCACTGGCTCTGATATCCTGTTTCAGGTGGCTCCTTTCTCTTGCAGGGTCCTATGGAGCAACCCTTGTGTGCGCTAGCAAGCTGTGCGAGTCTCCCATTACACACAGACAACAATGCAAGGCCCTACCTCGCTCCCCTCCAAGATAGTTATCATGCTTCCCTAAACTTGAGTACAAGATCCCAAGAGACAGCACAATCTCCAGCAGCACTCCATCTACGAAGTGCTTAGGCAAAAATATAAAGTAATAGTTTGCTGGCAATATATCATTTGTTTGATCGAGATTCATTACTGAAAAAGGTTTGAGAGTTTCATACTACTTTAAATGTACTCTGATGGTCCTTTTGTGTACTACTCTACTAGTGCAGATAGTGGCCTGAACAGATGGAGAAGACAATACATTCTACAAATTCATTTATTAGTCTGACAAGGACAACGCATGTTTACTATGTTACAATTGTCACTTCATTAATATTGGTCCACAGTCCAACGTAAACAGAACTTAATTCAAGTTATAGCAGAGCTAGTGGAAGACATTGGTGTCTTTTCTGGAGCTTACCCTCCCACGCTGTAGAACTTTTGCTCGTTTCTGACCTCTGTTGACAAACACAGGCGGCTGAGGTTTGGCGTTCGGTCCAGAAATTTGCATCTCAGGATATATAATGTCCAGGTACCATCTAAACGACTTGCAATTTAATCTGTCCCTTAATGCCACTCGCTCGCTGATATCGCCATACTCCCTGTTCCTGAGCTCTGGTCTGAGGGCAAAGTATTGCTCCTAACAACCAAGTGAATAAAGATGAAAAACAAAAAGGTTATAAAATCATGAGAACACTGAAGTCTTCCCCATCCCCCAAGAGCCTCACTACTCTGCAGATCAGTAGGGATCCCCCCATTCTGTAGCCATATGCCATCCCCACTCTTCTGACAGCAATAACATACCCAGAACACATTCTTTCCCTGCAGCTGGACCCAGAACTTAAAAGCCAGGAGAAAGGAAACAACCACATAACTACAGATGTGGCACTTGGTCCTGATGAATATTGGTTAAAAATGAAACCAGTCAGATTGCCAAGCCCGCTCTTGGCTCTATAGGTGTTATACAGCGACCCTGAGGTTTGTTCCTTTAATGATCGAGGACTCATAACGTTCTGCACCCCTCAACAGCACATAAAACCAGGCTCAGTTAAAGGGTCGCAGCAACCCGCTGTAGGATAAGAGCCATTCATTGTTCTAAATAACACTCCCAACCTTGAGCCGCACAAAACTGCAGGACAGCACCGCCTGTTTTGGGAAAGACAATGCAAAACCGAGACCCAAAAAGGGCAGCCTGGCTATGGTTTTCCAAGACTGCACCAGAGAACCTGGAGGCTTGGATGCAGTCCTATAAAAACTGCTGTGGTGTGTCATTTTCCTAAAGAGGGTTCATATGAGATTCATTTAAAAGTAACTGTTTAATTGCAAGCTAACTAAATATTTGGGGCTTTATAAATCAGACATTACCTTATATTCATCCATCCACACATGTGCCAATCGTAAAGAATTGTGGGCCATAGTGTCATGGCCTCCTGGAGAACCATACGGACGCCTCTTACGGAAGATGTGCCCCACCCTAGAGCAGGGTACAATGAGTAGACTTCCACCACACATCCAGATCTGAAATACAGATATTAAATGACATTTCTTTACTCTCAGCATCTCAATTTCCAAAAGCGCTTAAGAACCACGCAATTTTTGTTTTCACCTTTTAATAAAAAGTGTTTTCAGCAAATAATGTGGAGTTGTTCAAGAAACTTTTGGACGATTTCTTAAGGGACCGTAATATACAGGGGTACGGGTACTCCTAAAATGAGATCCTAATAGGTTGGACTTGATGGACTAATGTCTTTATTCAACCTCAAATATTATGTGTTATCCATCAACTGGTGGGCAGCCCCCAGCAGCAAAGGTCCTCCCCCTCTGGTTCATGCAAATCATCTGTTTGCACCCACCATAAGTCAGATGGTTCCGCTTTGCAAACCCATTTGGAATGAACTGACCAATTACCTTTCATTTGTGAATTTATTGTCCCCGTCAATCAATTGATGGAGCTTTCCACCTTTTAACTGAAAAACTCTAGAATTACAGGCTGTGTGATTAAATGCGGTGTGAATTCTGTTCTTACTCTCTCATCTACAAAATAGTGTAGCCAAGAGATCATTCCTATTATATGTTATAGGAAATACACTTAGCAATTGCCAGTCTTTGCATTGTGATACCCGTCCACAATAACATCACCCAATATGGAGCTGCCGAGCGTCTGACTGTTTGCAGGGACATACAATAGAGATATTCTTCACATAAGGACTTTACGTCACAAAACATTAGCATCCAGGCAATACAGACTTATTACTTGGAGGGGGGAATTTTTGTTTCAAAGTACAAAAAGATCCCTTTATAAGCTCACTCCTATAATTGGGACTCGGAAGTGAAAGGAACATTATTCACTGGAATTTTTCCTCAAAGCAATTTCAAAGCGTTAGAAACCGTCCAATCACACAAATGATAGAAAAATGAAACATGCCAAAGCGATTGGTACTTACCCGAAACGATATTTCCAGGTTCTCTCCACCCCAGATGTCCATGCCACTATCATACTGGCCCAGTGTATTAAAGTATTCCCTGTCCATTGCAAAGAGACCTCCAGCCATCGTGGGAGACCTGCAATTCCAACAATTGTGAGAAGTCATATTTCTGAGAACAGATCATGTTAAAAGTTCCAGAAGAAACAAATCTGAATCATTTAATCTGCTCAAAGGGTTTGTGTATGGATCAGAAGCTGGAAGGGCAGACTGAACTCCCTTAGTTATTGTTGGGGTGAGAGCTGCTAGAAGGCCCCATTCACACCAGGGCGGCAGCGTTTCAGCATCATTTCTGAAAGGGCATATTTGGGCATTTTTAATCGTGTTTCAGCGTGTAGCAGCTCAGCAAAGAGCTGCTACAGTTATTGTCAGACTTCACGAAGAGTGATAGATGCAACGACAGAAGAGGGCTGGAGGAAGAGGACTCTGGTGGAGAACATTCACATGCTGTGATCCTGAGCGAGAGCATTTCTCCTGGCTACATGACCCCCCATCCTGCTGCAGCACCAACACTGGCATTGCTGTGCCCACCAGGAGAGGAGCAGTGGAATCATCTGTTCTGGCATGTTCGGCCTCATCCTGACGCAGGCCACCCTGCACAGCTCCGGCAGCCACAAAGAGGGCAAAGACTTCTCTTTAGATACAGCCTCTCTGTAAGACACATCTGGCTACATCTAGAGGCCTACTAAGCCTGCAGTGTTCCAATAATGCGGCATTGAGCCTGAAGGTTGTATGTAATGAACCTGTCAGCCAGGAGCATACAGGTGAGGGGTTTGTCACCCCGTAAGATACAGCTGAGGGGGCCAATCAGCTCTTTAGGGCCCAGTCAGCCTGCAGGTATTGACAAACAAAGCATTTAGCTTGAAGAATAGAAGTAATGAACCAGTAAACCTGTATGACACAGGAAAGGGGCCGGTCAGTCCTTACAATACAAATGAGAGGTCAGTTAGCCCATGGGATACAGGCTGCACAGTGCTGACTCCTAGTCCAGAAAACAGAGGAAGTCACATGAAGAAACGCGTCAGTGGGCAGACATACATGCTGAGGTCACTGCTAACGAGCAAGGAAGGATTTGATATGTGGGATCTTTCTGTGAAGGAAGGCTTTTTTTGGTGGAAATATACAAAGCCAGCCGCCAGTGGTTACAGAAAAACATTTACAGAGAAGAGATTGCGTTCATATACCTTTGTGAGTGTTTTTAATCTTTTTTAATAATTTAGTGTAGTTTAGTGGATTACACTCTGGATGTTTTCTGAATATTTTTATGAAAATCAGGTGAGTTACTACATACAAAAAGGAGGGGTACAGATGCTGGAATCATTGATCGGATGGATGAGAAAACCAAACCAACTACGCTTAAGTGCTGTTAGACCATTCTTCCCAATGGTCCACCTGATCTGATGAGTGCATTTCTGAGTCACTGGTGGGAGGACGCAGACGGGAGGACCCATCACTGTGGAAAATTTATTAGAGACATTGTATTCAGAGACATTGTTCAAATATCTGGTTCGCTGCATGCACCTTATAGGATTGCATTTTTTGCGCAGCTGTTGAGGGTTAGATCCCGAGGATAAGGAGCGCGGATCCTTTGTGATTTACTATTATGGAAGGACAAACTAACCATAGCATTAGTAATAAGGTAACATTTATACTTTTCAATAAAAAGTAGTGTGGCGGACAAACACCAGATGATGGAAGGTATGCCAATGCTGGGAAATATTTTTTTTAGCTCAACCCAGTTCAGGAAAGTTAAAATCACTTCCATATTGCGGTTCTCCATATTTACAGCAATCCAGATATGCAGCCAACGCAACCACAAAACATTTTCCAAAATCCCATCCAGCTAATAGAATCTAATAGTATCCTGTTCTTGGACAAATGAATCATTCAGCTTCCAGGCAGATACAGAGAGCCAGGTCATGTATTCACATTACAGCAGGAGCTGGCTGGGACACCACTGAGAGGAAATCCAGCCTTCTCCAATCAGGGACACAAAGTAGAAAAGCAGCTATGACAAGAATCCCAGACTAAAGCAGTGTATTCTGGTGGTTACTACATGAAAACAAAGCCACAGTTCAACCAACTTGTTGTTGTTAATGTGTGTGTAATCCCTCTTTCCAGAAACTCCGGGAATGTGGTGACTGGAAAAGCATGTGATCTCAATCTTAGGACAGAAGTAAGGGGTAGAGGCTGGGTATTTGTACATAATCCACCTCATCACTGCTAAAGGCGTCAGTCTTTATTCTGTGGCTGTGTTAGTTCGGATTGCCTAAATATTAACATGAACCAGTCTTCATTTTACTGCTACCAATCTGTGGGCAAACTTTAAATGCAGACTCTCATGTTCACGTATCTTCAAGAGCACCCTCAAATTGTGGGTAGGGATGCACCTATACCAGTTCAGATCCAATTGCTGATACTTGGCATTTTCATGAGAACTACCACCCTGGTTGCAGCTGTGACCTGGCTCCGGCGCTCCACCACTGTCCTGAAATCATTAGTCTGTATTGTTTTAGAAAAACTGTCACATGACAATAAACAAAAATGTATCAGTACTTGGGCAAGTATCTGTACTTGTGTCTGTGAGTACTTGGGCAAGTATCTGTACTTGTGTCTGTGAGTACTTGGGCAAGTATCTGTACTTGTGTCTGTGAGTACTTGGGCAAGTATCTGTACTTGTGTCTGTGAGTACTTGGGCAAGTATCTGTACTTGTGTCTGTGAGTACTTGGGCAAGTATCTGTACTTGTGTCTGAGTACTTGGGCAAGAATCTGTACTTGTGTGTGAGAGATTG